GGGGTTCAAATCCCGGTAAGGTAAAGTACTACATTGAAGTTAATCGTCTGTGATGGGAGTGAAACGTCTAGAATAAGACATCCAAGAGAAAAAAAAATCTCTTTTTCTTATGTGTCAGAGCATACAACGAAATGTTTTATTCTGTATCGATGGATACAAATTTTTGTATCCACGTTACAAATTTATTTTTATATCCAAAAGAATACAATTTTTTGTATCATGGATGCTGAAAAAACTGCATATCCAAATTACAAATTTTTGTATTAATTTTTTTTAGAGTGTGCAGTTGGCGAGAGAGATAGCAGGGGGACAGAGAGCAGAGAGACACAGAAAGAGAGGGGGAGCGAGAGAAAGAGAGGGGGAGCGAGAGAGAGAGAGAGAGAGAGAGAGTTTGTTGTAGCATTTTCGTCCGCGTTAGTCTGCGACGACCAAATGAATGGCCCTGGCGCCGTTGTGCCGCATGGACAAAGCCACCGGGACAGTGAGAAAAGGACACAGCGAGAGAGAGAGAGAGAGAGAGAGAGAGAGAGAGAGAGAGAGAGAAAGAGAGAGAGAGATGGGAAGATGGGGTGGGAAGGTGGGGGAAGAGAGAGATAAAGAGTAGGAGAGAATCTCGTTCCGTTGTTACACCTCCGGCAATTGTTCTACGATGGCCGGGCCGAACCGGCGCGGAGCAGGGCGGAGCAATATGCCAACAAAGTATTTGTCGGAAGGAGCGGCGGCCGGGCGGGGGTTAAGGAAGGGAAGCGTTTGAAAAGCCCAGGGCCGCTTGAATTTTAGGAGATCGCCGTGAGACGGCAGCCAGAGAGGGAGCGCGCGAGAGACGGGAGAGGTGAGAGTGAGAGAGCGAGAGCGAGAGAGGGGTAGAAAGCGAGAGTGAGGGGGCGGTCCGTCCGCCCCGCCGTGCGCGCCCCTGGGGGTGAAGCCTTATTTGCTCTGGCATATTCTGTGATTGCTGTGCGCCCCGCCCCGCCCTGCCACCGCTAGGCCCCAAGGGCCGGCTGACCACCCGTCGGGTGCGTCGCCCAGCAGGCGAGGAGAGAGCCGCCCAAGAGAGACGAGGGGAAAAAATTGGAATCCCGACATCTTTTCCACTTCAGGCACACGATATTTCGGGCCCCCAAACCCCCACCCACAAGGGGGAAAAAATGCGACGAAGAAAATGCAGAGTGAGGCGCGGAAGAGGGGTGTCTGTCTACCCGAGCGAGGATGGTAACGGTGTACTATCACGCATCCCTCTTTAGCCTCTTGCTCGGTTCACCTTCCACCTTGAAGGGTGTGCTGCTCACCAGGCCACGCTCCGCCACGCCCCGGCGCAACAGGTCACGGTATTGATCCCCGATCGGAGTCGCGCTGCCGCGTACCGACGCCGTTATGTGGTGAACATGCTCTCTCTCTCTCTCTCTCTCTCTCTCTCTCTCTCATCTTGTGCCATCACCCCCTCCACCCCCCGAACACTCCCCCTTCTACCCCTCTCTGAGCGGAGAGGGAACCGGATACAGGTCGTTATGTCGGCAACAAGAGACGAGCAGCCAGGGGAAAGTGGAAAGGGGTAGGGGGAGGGACCGTATGACACAAAACGCAATGACGTAAACGAATAGCACGAGACAAAGGGAGAACAAGGGCGGCGAAATAGAACGAAAAACCGTACAGATAAACAGAGAATGGGGTCTGCTCAATAAAACTGATCCGTAATCCGCAACGACGACCACCCCACGTTAAAAAGCAGCATTATTTGTTTTACACACGTGAAAAAAAATGATATAAACAGACGCACAATTTTCTGTAAAACAAAAAGAGTAAGGTACGTGGCGGCTAGTCGTGCTGTCACAGCCCAGCATGGCCGGCAGCTGTCAGCGGCCTCTGGCTGGGCCGGGCTGGGCCCCGGGGCGCATAGGTGTAAACAGCAGCTCTGACGCTGTCGCCTAACTGCAGTTTAGTTGAAACTAATGGTGCCCCCTTGATCCCCGCTCCGCCCGCCCCGCCACGCTCGCCACCATCATTTGTCTGGCCGCTACACCATTTGTGGACAGTTCGACGACGACGGGGTACCGCCACGTACCGGGTACAAAAATGTACTACCCCCGCGCGAGGTTGTTTACGAATACTAATTGAAGCGAATTGAAAAAAAAAAAAAACTCACGGAGAAATGGTACAACTGTACCGAAAAAGTTTCTGCTACCCAGGTAGGATTTCTCGTACTACGCTTGGCAGAGTGCGTGAGGGCGCGGTTAGGTAAACACGTAGGGCGTGGTCCCGGGGCGTTTTTGTCGTCATGCTGACTTGCCATGACCACGTCACAAAGTGTTTCCTTGACAGCTAAAAACGCTGCAACAACTCGCGACGGCCTGAAAAAAAACTGGTGTTGAATGAACACATTTTTACCAACTAGCATTTTTCAGCCCAAAGGGATGTCCAAACAAAAACGTGGATGCATATCATGATAAGAGAGAACTGGCATTAGCATTACAAACACAATCACAACAATAAACATACAGAAGACGCACAAGACGATAGATAGAACAAGACGGTATAGCAAAGTTCTGTACAAAGTTATACACGGAACACCACAGAAAGCACACAGCTATAGTGCAAACTCACGCACATAACAATTACATGGCACAACATTCATGAGAGCACACCGATAGAGGGTAAATACGGCCCAAATCTAGTCGTCAAACGAGAAACTTGTCTCCTTCCGCAGACTAACTCATTAATGTGTGAAAGAGGGCTGCTCTCTTTTACGGGTAAAGGGAGCAGGAGGGGGTAGCGGAAAGGTAATGAAAAATACAATGAGGAGTCATTGGTCTTGGCGACCTCCACTCACAGCCTGGCGCGCATCGCCAGACTATCGAACCGACATCGATTTTTCAGAATAAGATATTTGGTGCCGAGCCAATGACTGCAAATAAATAACATGGTTGCGACCTACAAGTGCGCCACCGCGACGAGATAGAATGACCTCGACACGCCACGCGGATAGGGGAGGGGGCAACACGAGACAAAGGGCCAAACTGTTTAAGACAACTAAAGAGATAAGCACACCCATCTATGAGTTACCTTTGAATAGGCTTCACCTATCGACAGGGTCGAGCCGCGCTGCCCCTCACGGACCAAACGTCTGAAAAACAGAGAAAGGAAGAAGACGCCATCGCCAAGCAGAGGGAGAGAGAAAGAGGTTGATTAGCTACACAGGTCTCAGCCGCACACCCTGAATAGATTCTTCAAATTACAAAATGTCTACTTTCTAGGATTTTTTCCTCATGAAACATTGTCACTCGCCATTTTTCGTTTCAGCTTTGCTTGTAAAAAAATGGAAAATAACTTTAAAATTGTTCAAAAGGATACATAGCAAAAAAACAACTAAATTTAAAGGGTCAAAGTGTGTAGCTGAATACTGTATTGGATTTTCATTAACATGATTAACACTTATCATTGATTTAAATGAAACATCTAGTTAAAATAATTGACCATTCCAGATGACTTCAGGATGCAAAATAATATCATGCAACTGTCAAGATACAAAAACTGCGATAAGATCTGCATTATTTTAAATTCTACTACTATTGCATACTACAAGTTTAAAAATTGAGAAAAAGTAATTCAGTTATTTCACTGAAATAAAAAAATGGGTTAAGCGTCGGAGGAAAGTAGCTGCCCAAACGACTCTGAGTATGGAAAAAGCTAGCAATACTCACGAAAGGTGATGTCCCCGGCTACAGGGAGAAAGCTTGGCAGGCTCATGAATGTCTACGTATTATTGGTATATCTAAAGGAGAAATTTTCCTGCCGATCTAAAAAAAAAATCATTCGAGTAGCTAAATTTCTACGACAAGCGCTTCCGTTCCGGTAAGGTACACGGATTATACAATTACAAGTTGGGTCAGCAGTCATGAAAGACTCAATCGGTTCAAGAGCAAAAAATGACGTCGACGTCGACGCCTCAACATTCGACCAAACAATGACCCATTTCTCAAAGGTTTGCAATCGTCGACGTCAAAACAACAAACCTTCACTAGTGGAGCACAAAGCAGGGCAAGCCGATCCATGCGACAACACATTCACACACACGGGGACGTTAATGCAGCTCCCGGGTAAATAAGGACCGTCCGTCGTGTCCTCGTGTCACTCCGGCCAGCCTCCCTGGGCGGGAGCAGGGCACTGGAGCGGCAAAGTGACCCGGATCCCCAACCCCTCTCACTCAGCCCCTAGCCTGCCAGGGCCGCCGCCGCGCGCCGCGCCACAGCGCATCACTCCCGCCCATCAAAATCCGAGCAGCAGAATCTACTACAGAACGACGGGGCGGACCTGGCGAGAGCCGCACCGCCGAAGAGCCGTGTTTCATCAAGACCGAAATGAGGGCGGGAGCCTTCCCCTCTTGCCCCCCTCATCCCCGCAGGCCTCCCCCCGGGGCGGGAGCACGGCA